AGGGCAACACAAGTAAGAAATCGAGCGTGCCGAGCCTTCCTCTAGTAAGGACAAAGGATTGTAGCATCCTCTCTTTGGGTGGGGGGGGGGGAGTATATGCAAGGGGATGCCTGTCCAGTTTGGGAAATCACCGATTGAGGCGAAACCCTCTGTGTGCCGTCTCCTTCTCTTGGAGCGCCAGAAGACGCCTGCCCGGGAGAACTCTCGGGGTTTCTTGGCGTTATAACCCCAAACCGTAAACCCTAAACCCTAAACCCTAAACCCTAAACCCTAAACCCTAATATTCTGGCGCCTTCGCGTTCGCAGCGCAAGGCTGCGGACTCCTTGAGCCCCAGAACGCTAAGAGCCCCTACAGCTGCCAGGGCTATAAAGCCCGAAGCCCACAGGAGCACAGGGCCTAAACCCTAAACCCCAAACCCTAAACCCTAAACCCTAAACCCTCAATCCTAAACCCTAAACCCTAAACCCTAAACCCTGAACCCTAAACCCTAACCCTGAACCCTAAACCCCTAAACCCCTAAAACACCTTTAGGGTTTAGGGCTTAGGATTTCTAGGCCTCAAGATTTAATCGGGCTTGGAATTCATGGTGCTTGGGTTTCAGGGTTTAGAGTTTAGGGCTTATAGGGAACCTTCCCCTTAAGAACTGTAACCGCAAAACCAAAAGCCCCTTGCCTTGAACACCCGCAATACGGGAAACCCTAAACCCTAAACCCTAAGCCCTAAACCTAAAACCCTAAACCCTAAAACCCTAAAACCCTAAAACCCTAAAACCCTAAAACCCTAAAACCCTAAAACCCTAAACCCTAAACCCTAAACCCTAAACCCTAAAACCCTAAAACCCTAAAACCCTAAAACCTAAAACCCTAAACCCTAAAACCCTAAATCCCTAAACCCTAAACCCTAAACCCTAAACCCTAAACCCTAAACCTAACCCTAAACCCTAAACCCTAAACCCTAAACCCTAAACCCTAAACCCTAAACCCTAAACCCTAAACCCTAAACCCTAAACCCTAAACCCTAAACCTCAGGCAGACCGCCTTGTCAGCGCGGCGCGCCATCGCTCGAAGACTTTTGAGGTGCCCGAGGTGCTCCGGAGGTCAGGATCGCAGAGCTGCGAGAAGGGTTGGAGTGAGGGTTTAGGGTTTAGGGTTTAGGGTTTAGGGTTTAGGGTTTAGGGTTTAGGGTTTAGGGTTTAGGGTTTAGGGTTTAGGGTTTAGGGTTTAGGGTTTAGGGTTCAGAGTTTAGGGTTTAGGGGGTTTGGGGTTTGGGGTTTAGGGATCAGGGTTTACGGCTTGTAAGGCTAAGGCTTTGAGCTTTAGGATTTCGTAAAGCCTGGACGCTCATGCCGCCAAAGACGCTGAAGGCTTGAATTGCTGAGAGGATTCATGTGGCGCAAGCGCATGGCAAGTTCTCCTTAATGTGGGACATGTTGATACAAATCCCCTTCCACCCCCAACGCCCCAACCTGGCAACACTCTACCAGACCAGGCCAAGAGTATCCAAGGAGTTGTGTCATGTGGGTTTTTAGGGGTGTCGAGGGGTTACGTGGGCCACTTGCAGGGTTGAGGGTTTTAGGGCCAAGGGCTGAGGAAGGTTGAAGATATGAAAACGCGAGGCAACACTTCTGCAAGGGTCGTTACGTGCCGGGAACGGCAGCTGCTTGGGGTTTTTAGGGATCTATGTGCCGCCACTTCGCAGCCTCCATTCCAAGCTTGCTGGATTACACCCTACGCCCTGAGCCCTGAGTCCTAAGCCCCTAAACCCCAAAACCCCAAAACCCTAAACCCTAAACCCCAAACCCCAAACCCTGAGCTCGACCAGGCTGGCAGCTGTAAGGATGGCCACAGCTGCTCGTGAAGTCGATGCAAGATGAGAGGAGACGGGCCAAAGAGGGCGTTCGTGCGAATGGAGCCCTAAACCCTAAACCCTAAACCCTAAACCCTAAACCCTAAACCCTAAACCCTAAACCCTAAACCCTAAACCCTAACAATGCCGAGCCCAGCGGATTCTTGGTCGCACCCCGAACCCTCAACCGAAACCCTAAACCCTAAACCCTAAACCCTAAACCCTAAACCCTAAACCCTAAACCCTAAACCCTAAACCCCACCCTAAACCCCACCCTAAACCCTAAACCCTAAACCCTAAACCCTAAACCCTAAACCCTAAACCCTAAACCCTAAACCCTAAACCCTAAACCCTAAACCCTACAGAAAAATGTACAGGCCCTGCCTCAAAGGTAGTGTCAATCACCTGCAGGTACGTCGATTTCAGCTGGCTGAATGAGGCGATTGACATTCCATTGCTGGGTGGTGGCCCTCGCGGGTCTACGCTGCCTGTTTCATGTAGGTTTTAGGGTTTAGGGTTTAGAGTTTAGGGTTTAGGATGCTTAGCCTGAGTTGATGTAAAGTCCTGTAAGATGTCCGAAGCAGCCCCGAATGAGGTACCCTTCTAGACCACTATTCAGGGAAACCCTAAGCCCTAAGCCCTAAGCCCTAAACCCGAAACCCTAAACCCTGAAACCTACAAACCCTAAACCCTAAACTTGTGGGTGCAGACTTTGGATGCTCTAAGCCCTTGTGAACAATCTGCTCTTGCTGACTGCAGAGCCGCTGCAGGCGCACACAGGCTTCACCAAAATAGTCAGGTGGGAGCCCCAAACCCTAAACCCTAAACCCTAAACCCTAAACCCTAAGCCCCAAACCCCCAAAGTGAGCCACAGTCTAGCGACTTGACACCTCCTTCAGTTCAGGGCTCAGGTGGTTGGCATTCGAGCCTTGGGGGCTTTCGGGTTTAGGGTTTAGGGGTTCAGGGCTTAGGGGTTAGGGGTTCAGGGGTTCAGGGGTTCAGGGTTTAGGGTTTAGGGGTTCAGGGTCGACCCTGAGCACTAAACCGCAAACCCCAAACCCCAAACCCCAAACCCTAAACCCCAAACCCTAAACTAAACCCTACTGTAAATCCGCAAGAGGATTTCGGGTCGCATGGCACAGGGATTTGAGGCTTCTGAGCGACCCCACTTCGTCATTGCAAATGCCCCCAACGAAAGCCCCGTCTGTGAGCAAAGCTGCACGTCCTCTTCGGCTGAGCAGCTCTACTATTACTCTCAGAAAAAATAGTATGAATATCATTGGTCTCGTTAGTATTACAACTATTGGTACTGCGGCTATTGAATTTCCATATTTAACACATATATACATATTGAATATGTATATAGTATTGCATCAGTATATTATTGCATAGAGCACCGTATGAAGTAGATATTTGCATGTTTAGGTTTGCAAATGATATTCTATTACAATCCATGATGCCCACCCAGTCTGGCGTTGGGGTTTAGGGTTTAGGGTTTAGGGTTTAGGGTTTAGGGTTTAGGGTTTAGGGTTTAGGGTTTAGGGTTTAGGGTTTAGGGTTTAGGGTTTAGGGTTTAGGGTTTAGGGTTTAGGGTTTAGGGTTTAGGGTCTAGGGTTTAGGGTTTAGGGTTTCGGGTTTCGGGTTTAGGGTTTCGGGTTTCGGGTTTAGGTTTTAGGGTGTAAGGTTTCGGGGTAATTAGGAGTTTGAAGGTTGGGGGCCTGCGGCACCGCTTAGGGCTTAGATGCTTGGCAAAACGCTTTTCGGCACTGGCGCGGGCCCAAGATACACACACATCTACACATGGTGACCATGCTGTAGTGAAGTGAAACCGAGGCTGGTGGCTCCCAGCACACTCCTTCGGAGTGGCTACTGCTTCCCGGAACCCTTCTCAGCACATTTGGCGCAGCTTGCGTAATCGGCCGTTGCGCCCATGACGCTCTCAGATGGAGGTTTTGCTGGGATCAAGCCCCGAACACCCCTTGGGCCCTATCACGAGATTTTACGCTTGACATGCGAGAGTAAAGTGCTCCAAGGTGCCAAGCTATGGCTTGCGAGATGGGGATTCACGAAAAGAGCGGTGCCTATCTTGGGGATGGATGTATTGCAGGATAGCATCTTGGGTGACACAAGGGTACCGGTACTTCTGTTTTTGAAAATGCCCTTTCTGTCGCATGTCTGTCAGTGTCTGGTGGTCCTTATGTGGGGGGGGGCCTCTCACACGAGAAAAGGACATTGAACATAGGCAAAAGAACTGACAACCGCACGGCTCTGTGAAAGAGCTCTCTGATCAGTCTTAACTAGACCCTGAACACTAAACCCTGAATCCTTTGCCGTTCCAAACGTTCAAACGAAGTTTAAGATTTGGAGTGAAACCCTAAACCCTAAACCGTAAACCCTAAACCCTAAGACTGCGGCAAGAAGATGCCAAACGCACTTGCTGAAGGGCTTGGGGCAATGCTTCGCATCCTCGTCGCTTGTGCGCTTGCATAGGTGAATTTTGCAGGGACGCCGCACCTGATCTTGGCAAAGGGCTGTTCCGGGCTGCTCCAGATTTTTAAACACTAAACCCTAAACCCTAAAACCTAAACCCTAACCCTAAACCCTAAACCCTAAATCCTAAACCCAATTCCTGGGCTCCGCCGAAAAGACCTCCGAACGCGAACATCTACGCACCTCAGTGTTTGGTGCCATGGTCTAAACCCTAAACCCTAAACCCCAAACCCCAAACCCCAAACCCTAAACCCTAAACCCTAAACCCTACAGAGCAGCTCGTGGATCCTCCCCGTGAGGAGAGCAGGAGATGAAGGAGACTACAGGGTTCAGGGTTCAGGGTTCAGGGTTCAGGCTTCAGGGTTCAGGGGCAGGGTTCAGGGTTCAGGGTTCAGGGTTCAGGGTTCAGGGTTCAGGGTTTAGGGTTTAGGGTTCAGGGTTTAGGGTCGAGGAATTGGGGTGAACTGTCAGGTGTAGGACACTGAAGGTGTCGGGCTTAGGGTGCATCTCTGACATTGAAGGCTTTCTAGGGTTCAGTGTTTAAGGGTATAGGGTTCAAGGGGTTTAGGTCTTAGGGGAGCCGAGCCAGGAGAAGCGCCCAGCGCGCAACAGCAATTGCCCAGCCTCCCACCTACCTCCAACCCTAAACGCTAAACCCTAAACCCTAAACCCTAAACCCCCGGCGGGTGGGAGCCGAGATGCATGCAATCTGCCGCATAGCGCCGCGCACTGCCTGAGGTGGATCTGCTGGAAACCCTGAAGCTTACACCGTAAACCCTAAACCCTAAACCCTAAACCCTAGACCCTAAACCCTAAACCCTAAACCCTAAATCCTAAATCCTCTTAAAAGCTGATCCCTAAACCCTAAACCCCAACCCTGCACTGATCCCTAAACGCTAAACCCCAACCCCCACACTGTCAATGACTTCCGTCAACAAGTTCTGAAGCTGTCATGCAACTCAGGGAAAGAAAGCCGTCACGTAACTCAGGGAAAGAAAGCCCTCTGTTGGGCGTGGCTTGTGGTCAGAGACAGCAAAACAAAAGGCACTCATGCAAGACGCCTGCGAAAATTGCTGCCTAGTCCTCATTCACATCTGGGGCCTCGACCCTGGAACCTAAACCCTAAACCCTAAACCCTGAACCCTAAACCCTAAACCCTAAACCCGAATCCCTAAACCCTAAACCCGAAACCCTAAACCCTGGATGCTTGCGGTTCGATTGGAGTTGAGGGATTCAGTAGCCCAAAGCCCTACAATCACTCAACAGCCCAGAGCAGCCCTTACACCGACTCTGCAATGCCTGAGGTCTCGGCCTCTTCACGCGCCCTCTCCTCGACCTCTCTGGGCCTCACTAGCGACCGAAGGCACGTTTCTTTTGAACCCTTATAAGCCCTAAGCCCTACTCTACACCCTAAACCTTAAACTCTAAACCCTCAAACCTGAGCCCTGAAGGTTTAGGGTTTAGGGTTTAGCGCTTAGGGTCCTGTTGGGTTTAGGGTTTAAAATTTAGGATTTAGGGTTTAGTTGTAGTTGTTGGGTTTTAGGGATCTAGGGTTTGTCGTTGGGTTTGAGGGATCGTGCGTGTAGAGCTTCAAAGTCTAAGTTATCGGCTCTGGGTTGTTTTTGGGGGCTTACGGATTCAAGTTCGCACCCTAAACCCTAAACCCCAAACCCCAACCCTAAACCCTAAACAGCGGAGGGCTGCAGCAAGGGCCCGCGCACCAATGGCACTCGGCTGACGAATGGGACGCCTCGTGCCTCACACGCTGGACCCCAGTATTTTCTGCGGGTTTGGGGCTTAGGGTTTAGGGTTTTTAGTGGTCTGTTTCAGAGGGTTTTGTTTGCATTGAACTTAACCGAAGTTACTAAGATGCTCCAAAACATATGGTACCTTAACCTAAGGCCCTTACCAACCACAACGCCAAAGCCCGAAACCCCCCTAAGCCCCGGAGCCCGAATCCCCCAAACCCCGACATCTAACCTCTAAACTCTAAACCCATGCCCCCTAAACCTCCTATGCCGTAAACCCTAAACCCTAAACTCCCAAATCTAATGCTGGCGAATGTGTCGACCAAGTGGTGGTATCAATTGGGCTCGAGCGAGCACAAACACTTCAAAAAACCTAAACCCTAAACCCCAAACCCCAAACCCCAAACCCTAAACCCTGAACCCTAAACCCTAAACCCTAACCCCTAAAACCTAAACCCTAAACCCTACACCTAACAGTTTGAGCCTCCAGGCGGCCAGCTTCGGCAAGGCGCCTGGTGACCTGGGAGAGAGGCTGAGCCCCCAAAAGATGGAACATCATGGGTTTAGGGTTTAGGGTTTAGGGTTTAGGGAGTCCCAGCACTACTTGTCCTCAAGCTCCAACTTTCTGGCTTTTGGGTTTGGGGTTCAGGGTTCAGGGTTTGGGGCTTAGCGCTTGTGGTTTTGGGGTTTTGGGGTTTGGGGTTTGGGGTTTGGGGTTTGGTTTTTGGGGTTTGGGGTTTGGGTTTTGGGGTTTGGGGTTTGGGAATTCGCAGCGTTTCACTGTACTCCCTAAACCCGAAACCCTAAACCCTCCAGCATCCTGTTGGACTTCAGAATTCCTTCAATCCTAAACCCTAGACTGCCCTAGACTCTATCGCTTAGGGCTTGGTGCCTGAGCTTCCTCAGCACCGTAAAGACTTAAACCTTCCAAATCTCAATCCTCATATCCTAATATCCAAAACCCTAAACCCTAAACCCTACACCCTAAACCCTAAACCCTAAACCCTAAACCCAAAACCCTAAACCCTAAACCCTAAACCCTAAACCCTAAACCCTAATTGAACCCCAAACTCCACAGCGCGCACGCCTGCTTAAGGCTCTCAACAGCGGCATCCGGGTCCTCTTGGGCCGCCTCCTCTGCTGGCAAAGGCAGCTTGTCAGCTTCGTCAAAGCTTGTCTTTAGGGTTTAGGGTTTAGGGTTTAGGGTTTGGGGTTTAGGGCTTAGGGCTTAGGGTTTAGGGTTTAGGGTTTAGGGTTTAGGGTTTGGGGTTTAGGGTTTAAGGTTTAGGGTTTAGGGTTTAGGCCGGACAATTCTTATCGTAGAACTTGTAAGGGTCCAGGGTCTCGGGTGGCAGGAAGGGATCCCCTTTTCAGGACGGAAGAAGGGGGGGGGGGTTGGCGTGGAGGGCTTGGGGGGTTTAGGGTTGAGGGTGAAGGGTTTAGGGTTTAGGGTTTAGGGTTTAGGGTTTAGGGTTTAGGGTTTAGGGTTTAGGGAGATTTTCAAACTTGGGATGGCGTTCTTCACAGTGCTACTGACAGTTGCTTGGCATGCGGCCTTTCCTTCCTCAGCCCGAATATGCCCTAAACCCTAAGCACAAACCCAAAGCCCTACCCCCGGCAAGTAGAGCTGTGCAGTGTAGAGCTTCACTGTAGTCTTAGTTTGTGTGAGTGTATTTCTTGAGGTAGTTACATGGCCCTTTAGTATGGGCCCTTAAAAGGGGACCCCTTATATACCCCCTTTAATACGCTATACAACCCAAGTGCCCATACTTCAGAACCCATTAGAGAAGGTAAGGAACCATATCAAGGGACCATGTAACTGCCCTTAGAAGCATTTGCAGCCAAGCTCTAAACGCCCTCGCAAACCCTAAGCCCTAAACCCTAAAACCCTAAAACCCTAAAACCCTAAAACCCTCAAACCCTCAAACCCCTAAACCCTAAAACCCTAAACCCTAAAACCCCAAACCCGAAAACCCTGCGCCCTCTACCCATGTGGGCCTTGGGGGAGGTTGGTAGGCGCTCGCGGTAGCCAGGCCGAAGCGTGCTGTCCTCGAGCTGTCGCAAGAAGACTGTGATTGTGGTGCAGCACGCTGTGAACTAGGAAGAAAAAACACCCCAAACCCTAAACCCTAAACCCTAAACCCTAAACCCTGAACCCTGAACCCTAAACCCTAAACCCTAAACCCTAAACCCCAAACCCCAAAACCCGAGGAAGAACCCAAGCGCCAAGCCAAGCCACCAGCACTTGGAAGGCAGTCTTGAAAAGCAGCCGGAAGACTCCCTGGTGTCCTGCCAGAGGCTTGAGGGGGTTTAGGGCTTAGGGTAGGAGAGCCCTTAGAGCCTCCCCAAAAATACTACAAAATACGAGCACAAGAAAATATCCCAAGGGCCTACCTAGGCGAATTCGGGTTTAGAAGGTTCAGACATGAGCGTCCCGCGGAAAGAACAGGCAAAGGGCGACTTTGCGCTAGAACAACTCACTGAAACCTTGTTAAAGAATTGAAGTACAGCCCCGAAAGAGCAACACTTTGTTAACACTCATGTTGCTTCCTGGTCCGCTAAGGGCTTGGTTTTGTCAACTGGCAAAGCCACCTTAGGAGAAGATGACCGAAGATAGACAAGTACAAGCCCGAAAGAGTAACAACTCTGTTAGCTAATTTTGGATTTTGGTCCGCTAAGAACTCAGCTTTGTCAACTGAATGACCACCCTAGGAAAGTTGACAGGCAGGGTCTAAGCACAACAGTTGGTTCCGGGAAACTGCGTGAAACAAAATTCTGATCCTAGTTGTTGTGGGACCCAATGGGCGGGTGGGGGTCGCTTGACAAGCTGCTTGACTGGTGATTGCTTTGACTTGAGATACTCGTCCCTAAACCCTACATCCAACCCAAAACCCAGAACCCTAAACCAACGCCCAGAACCCCTAAACCACCCTGCAGTGCAGGACCATGGGATTTGCAAGGGGGTTTCGCTTGTGAGCTCAGAGCCGCGAGTCGGGTACCAAAAGGGGCTGTAAGCCCTGAAGCTCTATGGTGAGTTCTCTGAATTAGGTTCCCTCCTTGTGTGCTCTAAGTATCAGGGGCCGCCTCATACTAGTAACCTCCAAAGAAGACCACCATTGTAGAGCAGTGACCGCATGTCCCAAGACCTAAACCCTAAACCCTAAACCCTAACCCCTAAGGAGGCCTACAAAGCCTTCAAAGCCTTAACGCTTCCGTTACCCCGGAGGCCCAACCCCCCCAAATTGCCTAACCCTCCTAAACCGCTGAAAACCGAGGCCCTATACCCCTAAGCCCCCTGAAGCCTCAACCCCTCAACCCCTCAAAACCTGAGCCCAAAGCCTAAAACCCTAAAACCCTAAAGCCCTAAAACCCTAAAACCCTAAAACCCTAAAACCCTAAAGCCCTAAAACCCTAAAACCCCAAAACCCCACAACCCCAAAACCCTAAACCCTAAACCCTAAACCCCCTAAACCCTAAGATCGCCTGCTTGGAAGGCGAGCTGCATCGCAGACCTGCCATCCTCCAGGGGTTTGGGAACATCCGGTCTCCATATCAATCTCTTAAGCGTTTAGGGTTTAGGGTTTAGGGTTTAGGGCTACTTTGTTGCTGAGTTCATAGGCCCCCCCCCAAAAAAAAAGTGTACACTTTCAGTTCTATAGGGGATTATAGTATCCCAACAAGTGTAAAGTGTACTCACTCAGCTGCTTAGATGTACGTTGGTTTAGATATGCAAAGATAAAACCATGAAAAAGACATTTTCTACCGTACGTGTTTACAGATAGATATACACATATCTGTGTATGTGTATGTAGACATATCTGCTGTGTATGTATATGTTTGTGTACTATATACGTGTGTGCGCACATCCGGCTTTTGTTTCTTAAAGGTATCATTTTCCCATGAGCGAAAGTGCGGGGACGTTATGAGTAGTGATCGGATGACTAGGTTCGGAGAGAGCGGGTTTAGGGTGAAAGTTTATAGAGTCCAGTGTCAAGCTTGTTTTGCAGGAGGCAAAGGACACAAGAAGGGAAACATCCACATGCACGGTCCATGGCTTTGTGGCTTCTTGCATGCCGTAGAAGTGTGGGATCCAGAAGAGATGAAGTGGCTGAGGTCGGGGTTCGTACTTACAGATCGTGCGACCTGTCGCAGCTACTTCGAGCTCGGTGGTCTGCGCAGGTGCACGCATGAACTAAGCATGCACATGTTATGTACGTACGTGGTCTTGCAGACCTAGTGTACAAACATACTTGGGAGGCAACTTCGACTTGGGCTTCCTTATGGTGATTCTTGTTGAACCCCTCCAATCACGGATCTTCTCCAGGGCCCGGATGAAGATCCAACCCCTCTTAGCTCTCCATGCACCCCGATGCGTCCAGCCGAGGGCTCCAAGTCTGGGCCCTCAACTTGGGCCCCTTGTTATACAACGCTTTCTTATACACTATAAGTAATTAGGGTTTAGGGTTTAGGGTTTAGGGTTTAGGGTTTAGGGTTTAGGGCCATACTTCGGATCCCTAAACAAGGGTAGGGGCAACGGACCATACCATGGCGCCACCCTTAGATCTAGGGTAACTTTCTTCAGGCCCGGGAGGGGGTTAGGGTTTAGGGTTGAGGGTTTAGGGTTCAACGCCACCAAAGCTGCACCGCGCCTTGAGCCGAGATGAATCTGCGCCGGCATTCAGAAGCAGCTGGACGACCTCCACCTGTCCTTCCCAGGCTATCGGGCAGGATGCAGCAGCACGGTTTAGGGTTTAGGGTTTAAGGGTTTAGGGTTTGGGGCTGTTTACAAAGCGCTAGCCTGCTCTTATAGGGTCCTTAAGGAAGGGGGGTTCATGCGGGGTAGGGGAGCTTAGAGGAGCTTAGGAAGCCTTAGGGAGTAGTGGGGAGTATTTGGGAACCTTGGTTTAGGGTTTAGGGTTTAGGGTTACTCCTCCCTTAAGAACCCTTCTTTTTTGCTTTGCAGCATGAGGGAAGCGACCTCGTCCCAAACACGAACACAAACGGAACCACTGCGGGTCCTACAGGTTCAAGGGCGCGGGCAGGATGTTTGGGAATGGACTTCCCGGTAGCAGCTGTAACACTGAGGGAATATGCCCTTCATAATCCTTTCAGGTACTTGTAACCCTTGTAACCCAAAACCCTAAACCCCACATACTAAGATATCTCAACAAACAAGGCACTGCACCAAACGCATGCTTGTAACCCTTGAAACCCGTGTAGCCCTTGTAACCCTTGTAACCCGTGAAACCCTAAACCCTAAACTCTAAACCCTAAACCCAAACCCTAACATATCTAAGCAAACAAGGCGCTGCACCATAATGACCAAATGTCAGGCCCCTAGTCGTGAATGCACCTAAATTCCCAGTGTCTACACTCGACGCCCTCATGACTCATGCCCAAAACCCAAAGCTTCAAAACGCTAAGTCGCAGACGCTGTACCCCAAACCCAAAACCCTAAACCCCAGACCGCCGTGAAAAGTGCCTTCGGCAGATGCTGCCAGCAGAGGGGTCCATCCATCCTCAGGTTTTCTCCCAGGTCTGGCGTGGATTTTTGGGGGCATCTTCGGAGTTCCGAAGGGTTTGAGGATTATCGGGTGCCCTAAACCCTAAACCCTAAATAAACCCTAAACCCTAAACCCTAAAACCCTAAATCCTGAACCCTGCATGGTCAGCCCTAAACTCCCGAAACTCCCTAAGTTCCCCACCCCAACCCCACCCCCCTTCCTTAAGACCCTAAACCCAAAAGCCTAAACCCTAAACCTAAACCCTAAAGCGTGAAATCCTCCCAAGCCGAGCCGTTGACTTGAGACGTCGTATCTGGATCCACAATGTCCAGCAACCTCTTGTGATTCAGGGTTTAGGGTTTGGGGTTTAGGGTTTATGGTTTCGGGTTCAGGGTTTAGGGTTTAGGGTTTGGGGTTCAAGGTTTAGGGTTTTGGGAGTTGGTTCACTCATAGGGGGCCCCTGACTGGGGCTTTCCTATGATTAGGCCACCCTTGTCGGCAAACCCACAAGCCCCAGCGCCACTGAACTGACACAGGGCGAGGGTTGCGGGGGCCTCTGAGGTGCGCGCGTTAAGGGTGTCGGGGGCTTCCCAGATTAGCTTAGTTGTCCAGTACCAAGGGGTTTTAAAGGTTAACCTTTGGGATTCTGAGGGGAATATATTAACCCAAAAAGGTTAAAGGTTACCTACTCTACTTCTAAGTTAGGTCACCAACCCTAAGCCGCACATCCTGGGACTTGCTAACGACTGTCGCTATCAGACATCCGAGCAATGCGACAGCAAACCCTAGACCCGCACCCTGAACCCTAACCCCGCTGGGTACAAGAACGCATGGAACTGCAGTCGACCGCACGTGAAAGATAAGCAGAGCTTGCGAAACCCCAAGCCCTGAACCCTAAACCCTGAACCCTAG